CTCACCGCGTCCTCGACATGGACAAGAGAGGCTCTGGCTGCGCCGATGGCCGCCATGTTTCCACGCACGGCAGTGGGTTCTACATTGACATTGCATATATCAGAAGTGTTTGCTGGTCCGTGGTAGCGCATGACGACGGAGGACGGTTACAGGCCAGTTATGATGATGCTGTGCCGCACTCGTTGTGCCCCACGCAGGTAGCGACGCGTGGCGAGGATTACGCCAGGCCAATTGTTTCGCAGACGTTTTTGGCCCACACACTCTGACTTCTGATTGCAAGGGCACGCTCACGCACTGCAAGTCGCCAAATTACAGGGGTTGCGGGCGTTGCAAATCATAGGTCAGTCCTTTGGAAGCGCATCGCGGCCGATGAGGGCTTTCACAACGAGCTGCTCAAATCCGCGAAGGCACGCGCCGCCCAGAGCGACGCGATCGAGGGAGTCTCGTCAGATTTCGAGACCGGGAACTCGACGGCGGAAGCCTTGGCCAAGAGAGGCGCAGCGCTGAACATGCCCGAGGATGACCATGCTGATTACGTCAGAGGTTGTAGGCGCTTGCACAACATTCTGTTGCAGTATACCGGGCGCTGCAAGGCGCGGCTATATGCGTTGAGCGCCGGGGGCCTGGATTACAATGTTTTAACCGAGGAGGAAGGATTTGGAGGTTCAAAGCTCGCAGCCAGCTCCCGATACGAGGGGAGGAGCCACCGCTTGAGTTGATTTCGACTGATGGGTCGGATGGCTTCATGGAGCCATAAAAAGTTGACAACCGATGCTTGGTCGAGTACCTGATGGTGGATGGGCCTCATTTACTGCATGCTGTCAACATGTCTGAACTAACCCAGGGAAACACAGATGGTTCGCGCAAAGATGTAAGGGCCTGCATGGCAGCAGACGGGAGGTTGAGAACACCCGCCATTTCGATCACCTCTGTCACCCGCATTATGTTCGTCAAGATGTCAGGCTGGAGCCCCCACGCTCGCCTTCAGGGCCAGCATGACATATGCTTCGCCCGTCTAAGAAGTGGGAACAGGAGTTCAAGTCTCAGAACGTGCACACCCCAGCCGGAAAAAAAGACAAGCTGTTGAACACATCGAGAGTTCTCCTCGCGCACAGGCTTGAGCATGCCGAAGCCTTGAAGTTTGGCAGAGTTGTGAAAGATGACGGTGTTTCTGAAAGATATGATTGAAGCTTTCCTGGAAACGAGCTGCGCGGGAGCGGAGGGCACCCGTGCGGGTCTGCTTTTGAAGGAAGGGGCCAGAGGTGCGTGGGTGATTTGCGGTCCAGCGCCGCGGGAAGGCGAAGTATGTGGTATGTATCGTGAGTGTCGCAGGCGCCCGGTCCATAGCTCGAGTTTCTAAGCATGTAAATGGGTTTATTTGTTCGTGGCCGGCTCAAGTGAGAAGAGAAGCGTATTCTGGGGAGCATGTCAAATTGGCGGGCGATAGATATCCGTTATGCAGTTGCAATGAAGGTTTCAATGTGCTTGGCACAAAGATCACAATGAACGGGAATACCAACGCGGAGTTTGAGCACAGACTAAGAGCAGGATGGGCCAAGTTCTCCAGCCTCAATGACATGTTGATGAAACGGGACGCCTCGCAGATCAAACGGCTTCAACTATTCGAAGCGACTGTTTCCAAGACTGTCTTGTGGTGCGCAGAGTCGTGGAAACTTATTGTGACGCAAAAAAGGCGCTCGCGAAGCACACGGAGAAAAATGCTACGCCGGATGGTGGGCCCAAGGCGACGACCCGACGAAGAGTACATCAGTTGGATCAAGCGGTCTACCCATGCCGCGGAAAGCATGGCCAAGCAAGCCGGTTGTCAATGTTGGGAAGAGAGTTATCTCAAAGTAAAGTGGCGCTGGGCAGCAAAGATTGCAAACATGGCTGTGGACCGGTGGGCCCGGAGGACCACCGAGTGGAGAGACAACGTCTGGTGGAGGGAACAATCCAGAGGAACGGCCGCCTGTCCGATCCGTTCGCGCACGGGGCGGTTTCCAAGATGGGAGGATGATTTGGTTTTGTTCGCTCGTGAGAAGCACTGGGAGTCGTGGGTATCTGCTGCGCAAGGCACAGAAGTATGGTCTGATTACGAGAGCGAGTACGTGCAATTCTCATGGAAGTGACGAGGCGCACCATATTTTCCGCATTCGTGATCCGCCTGCGCCCCTCTTGCCTCTCTTGTCTCCTCCTACTCCGCACAGGCACTGAATCGCCATGCGTATGTTGCAGCATGTTCCCGGTCCTCCCTCTCAGGGGGCCAGCGCGCTACAGGCGCGCCTGCCTCCCTTGCAGGGACGCCGGCCCTTCCCGGCGACGGCAGTTTCGTTCGTTCGTTGTGGCGCCCAGCGAGTACAGCAACCTGTTGTGGTTGCAATTCGTGTCTGCTTACCTCCAGGGCCACGCGCGCGCAGCTGTGATAACCCTATCTTCCACCACCACCACCACCACCACCACCACCACAATAAGTTGTTTTGAAAAGGTAACAAAAAAACAGGCGGAGGAGAACGAAGGGGAGGAGGAGGAGGAGGAGGAGGAGGAAGAGGAGAAAAGGAAAAAGAGAAGGAGGAGGAGGAGGAGGAGGAGGAGGAGGAGGACCCCCTCGCCCTCCAACTTCTGGTGGTGGTGGTGGAAAACAGGCCTATCAAGTTGGGTGGTAGCGCTCGGCGTCGTGGCTGCGCCGACGCCCGCGGCGGGCCTACAGCTGCGCCCCCGCCCCCCATCGAGCGCCTCAACAAAGCGGACGGTATCGGGCCCCACTTGGGGAGGCGCCCGAGGGAGCAGCCTCGGGGGGAACGTGGGCGTGCTTCTCTCGGCCGCGTGGGCCTCCTCGGGCGGCGGGCCTACAGCTGCGCCCCCGCCCCCGTCGAGTGCCTCGATAAGCGGACGGTTTCGGGCCCCGTTTTGGGGGGCGCTCGAGGGAGCAGCTTTCGGGGGGGCCTGTGGGCCTGTTTCTCTCGGCCGCGCAGGCCTCCTCGGGCTTTCGCTGCGCCTCGGTTTCCGCCCGCTCGCTCGCTTCTCCTCCTCCTCCTCCTCCTCCTCCTCCTCCTCCTCCTCCTCCTCCTCCTCCTCCTCCTCCTCCTCCTCCTCCTCCTCCTCCCCTTTAAAATAGAGTGCCTCGCTGCGGCGCGTGTGATTCGGTGTCGTCGGGAAGAAGAATCGAGGTTCGAGGGTCGAGGTTGATCGAAGCTGCTGGAAGGCTTTCGTGCGCCTCTAGGCCTCCTTGGGCCTCCAACGGCCTTCGGAAGCCTCCCAGGCCCGCCCAAAAAACAAGTGTTAACGCTTCGCGTGTCCCCACCAGCGTATCCAGAAACGCTCTACAAAATCGTGATCATCACCACCACCACCACCACCACCATCGTATTGATATTGGCCATTCTGCTCCTGCTCTCCCTCCTGGGACGTCGCTCCAGCGCAGTATGGCTGTAGGCCTGGACCTGTCAGGCTCCCGCGACGTCAGCCCACTGGTTTTCGGGACACTGCGCGCTTGCCTCGGGCGACCGTGGCACAGCACCCAGAGACAATAGTAATGAGGATGGCCGTGCAACATCGGATGTCCATCCCCCTGGGGCTAGGAAAAGGGAGGGAGGCGGAGGGTGCGATGGAGGAGGAGGAGGAGGAGAAGGAGGAGGAGGAGGAGGAGGAGCACTCGAGAAGCAAGACAACAAACGAGCTCCAGAAGCGCCCAAAATATGGAGCACCGAGGATCTCGAGGGTCGAGGACCAGGGACCTCCGAGCGGGGATCGAGGGCCTCTGACATCGAGAACCCCGAGGACGGGGAGGCCGTCGAGGACCCTCCAGCCTCGAGCACCGAGGACCTCCGAGCGAGGACGGCCGCGGGAGGCGGACCCGGCCCTCGGATGCCGTGTCCCCGGAGCTCCGGACCACTGGCGGCACGCGTCCCCGCATTTCCGAGACCCCCGACGTCACGATTGTTTCATAACGCTGCGTACCGGGCGGCAAGATACAACATGTGGTGTGCAACATGAACGACATAATGCTGAAGTACACGATGTGGTGTGCAACGCCAAAAACAGCAAGATGCGCACGGTTTCATAACGCTGGCCCCCAGGAGTCTCGACCCATTCCCCGGGACCGGTTTTTCATCCTGAGTCGTTTTCTGACGGCCCCGAGGCCCTTGTAAGGGCCTCCAGAGGCCGGAAGTAGCGAAGCACCTCCCGTCATGATTTTGTCATTGTCCGAGGGGGTTTGGGTTACCGCCCCCCCTTCTTGCGCCGGGTTCCCAGACGTGACGGCGAGCCTGGGGCCGGATTCCCAGACGTGGCGGCGAGCCTGGGAGGTGGGAAGTGGGAAGGAGCGGGCCGTCTCAGGAGGCTCGGGAGTCCCCCGGTCTTCGGAGAGGCTTGTTGAGCCCTTCTCCGAAGACACAGAGCATCTCAGAGGGCTGCCTTCTGAGAGTGCCAGCCGTAATCTGAGAAGACTTTCTCCTTCTCACTTCCCCCCCTCGCTCGCCGCCGACAGACCCCCTCGCGCCGCGAAAAAATCATGACGAGAGGCTTTTCGCAATTTTCTGCCTCTGGGGGCCCTTGCCAGGCCTCGGTACGGTCAAACGACGACTCAGGACGAGAAGTTAGTCCTGGGGATGGGTCCAGATCTCAGGGCGTCGACTTTATGAAAAAAATCATGACATCGGGTGCTCGGCTTTCGTCCCGGGGCCCGGCGAGAGCCCCCAGACGCCGGAAAATTCGGGGGGGCCAAGAGGGATGATGGCTAGGGTGGTCGATATCATGGTCGGGGCCATGATATCTCCCTGGATTTCACGGCCCCTTTTCCTCTTTCGATACGTCTCTTGATCCCCCCCTCGTGCGCGCACATGCCTCGGGCTATGATTTGTTTGCGCCCCCCCTCTTGCCGGCCCCCTCCTTGCCGGCCCCGAAAACTACAGAAATACGCCGCTGTGTTTTCTTGTCAATACGTTGGAGGTCCGGGGGGGAGGCGGACGGAAAGCGGGTCGCCCCGCCGAGAAGACGCCGAGGCACCAGGCGACCGTGCGGTGGGTGTGCCCCGCCTCTTGGAGGACTCAAGGAAGAAAAAGTGCATAAACATAAATTGTCGGAGCTCCTCGCGGATTTCTCGGATCTGCGCTGGAAGCCCCAGGCGTCGCCTCCATCGCCGCCCTTGAGGCGCTCCGCGCGCAAGGGAGGGGGGTCGAGCGGAGATCCGCGAAGTCCGCGCGGACCACCAAAAGATTATGTTTACACGCCGGTCGTTCAAAGTAGGTACGTGAGGATTCCCACATCCCAGTCTATGTCAAGCGGCTTCATACGTCAAAAAGCGAGATGCGTTGGTTATGTCTCTTCTCTAGGCGGGCCCGAACGCCACATACTTGATCCGCCATCCCACTTCTTGCTTCCACCCACTTCCTCCGACTGGCGGGTACACGCCGTTCTCTGAAAGTAGGTACTTCTGGATTCCCAGATCCCAATCTACTTCAAGCGCCTTCCCACTTCAAGAATCGACATGCTTTTGCTGTGTTCTGTCATTCCCTGGGGGGGCCTGGGCCCAATCAACTTAATCCGCCTTCCTACTTCTTGTTTTTACCTACTTCTTCCGACCGATTATGTTTGTTTATATGTGCTTCCCGCGTATGTTTGAGCAGCTTTCTTCCTCGAAGGACGGAGCCGCCGGAGCGCGACGGGGGGCACTCGGCGCTCCTCGCGGTGGCGAGTCGCCCGCGGTCGTCGTCGGTCGTCGGTCGTCGACGATCAGAGGAAGGAGGAGTCGTCGTCGGTCGTCGGTCGTCGACGATCAGAGGAGGGAGGAGGAAGGGACCCAGATCCCGTCAAGATGTGAAAAAGAATCATGACGGGAGGGTTTCGGTTATTGTCGGCCACTGGGGGCCCTTGCCGGGCTTCGGGACCACCAAGGAAAAACTCCGGGTGAAAAGCCAGTCCCCGGGAAGGGATCCAGACCTCCCGTTGTCCACGTCATGAAAAGTCACGACGTCGGGGGTCTGAGGAAGGAGGGAGGGAGGGAGGGGGGGGAGGGCGAGGAGGAGGAGGAGGAGGAGGAGGCGGAGGAGGCGGAGGAGGCGGAGGAGGGGGGAGGAGGAGGGCGAGAGGAGGAGCAGGAGGAGGCAGGAGGAGGGGAGAGGAGGAGGAGGGCGGAGGAGGAGGAGGAGGAGGAGGAGGAGGAGGAGGAGGAGAGAGGGGGGACCGGAGGGGGCATCGACGCATCGAAGTTCGAGGATCGAGGTTTTCAACCAGGGTTCGATGTCTTCGCTCGGCAGGGTTGTTTCGCATCGTCCGCCCATGTTGGACCCCTGGGAGGCTTCTCGTCGCCATCGCTGAAGTTCTTTCGAGATGTTTGTCGAAACGCGCTCCATGACAGGTCCAGGCAGGAGGAGCGTCGAGGATCAATGCTCTAGGATACGGTGAGGGTGTTCTTTTAGTAAGTTGCCCACGAGGCGTCAGACCCTGGAGGGTTCCTTATCTGATGGGGGCGGCGGTGATATTCATGGCCAAGCCTGAGTTGGTGTTCCAAGGACTTCCAGACCCTGGATTCCTTATCTAAGAGTTCCTTATCCAGTGCCCTCACCCAAGAGCTTCTGGAGCCCCGCGCGGATTTCTTAGATCTGCGCTGGGCCCCCCTGGCGGCGCCTCCAGCGCCGCCACTGGCGCGCTCCGCGCGCCAGGGAGGGGACCAGCGCAGATCCAAGAAGTCCGGCACAGGTCCGAAAGTTCCTTCTCCCTTCTGCCCTCACCGTAGTCTGTTAATTAGGCATCTGGGGTCCGTTTGGGGTCCCGGGAGACCTCCAGAGGCCTCGGCAGGAGGAGGAGCCCAAGCCCCCAGAGCCACCGACAGATCGCGACGAGACGCCTGTTGTCGGGATGCCAGTTTCGGCTCCTGGGGCCGTCCGAAATCCAGACGCGGCTCGCATCGAAGAAGAAAAGAACAGCATAGACATAAATCGTCTGAGCTCCGCGCGGACTTCTTGGATCTGCGCGACCTCCACAAGTTTATGTCGATGCTGCTGATTGCTCTTCCACCCCAATGCGAATTGTCGCAAGCAGGGCAGTGTGCGAGTGAGCCAGAGAGAAATAAGGGGGTGGCACCCGTGAAGAACCGTTGTCGGGATCAGCCCCAGCAGCTCCCACTGGTGACCAGCTTCGGGATCTGTGGGAGCCTCACGGGTGCCTCTTGGAGCCATTTACGTGGCGCGAGGGTTCAGGGCAAGCCCAGCTCTGGAGGGGCACCTCCAACCTGTCTGCTCTTCGTACTCGGGCTCTCCACCTCGGGACGTTCCTCGTTCGGGGGTACCCCCCCGAGGCCTGGACTCGGCGAAAGGGCCCATGTTCTTGTCCCGCGCTATTGCGAGAGGGGGGGAGGAGGAGGGAGGCCACCTTCAAACCACCCTCTACCCTGCGGCCATCGTATCCCGTCCTTAACCTCATCCCTCGTGCACCTCCCCCCTTCCGGCAGAGAGAGAGGCACGCGGACAGACGAGACTATGCGGGCGTGGTTGGCGGCATGGGTGATAATGGCGGCGTATCGGCGTACGGTGGGGGCGTTCGTTCAGGAACGTGCCCAGGATGCCTCGGGTCCTGGAGGATCCTTTTCCTGACAAGTGCGGCGGTGATGTCCACAGTCAAGCCTCAATTGGAGATCCACCGGCTTCCAGACCCCAGGTTTTTTTTTTTATCCCAGAGTTCATTGCCGAATGCCCTCACCGCATTCTAGAGTCGTTAGGCATTCCACTGGATCGCAGAAGGGAGATCTAAGAGGTGAGATGAGGGGGTAGCCAGGAGGAGCAGGAGGCAGAAGGCATTGGCCAGTCTTTGCTAATCGTCGTCATGCTTCATGCCAAAGGGGCAGTGCTTGGAGGTGTCTGAGTCTATGTCGGGGCCACGTTGGGTATGATTGAGGCTCTCTTCGGCCCTGTTGGGGCCCGTTCGGAATGTGGTTTCGGGGCTGGACGCGAGAGTCTTGGAGCCGCCTTGCGACATCGAGAGGTCGTCTTGGAGCGGTCTTGAGCAGGAGTGAAGCCCCTTGGACGCCGTCTGGGGCCTCTGTGGCCACCCTGGGAACCAGATTGGGGCTATATTGCGGACCTCCTGAATCTGTCGGAGAGCCTCGTGGGGTCTTCGTGGACCTTATCGGGGCCGCGGAAGCCCACCGCGGGGCCAGTTTGAACCGAGAAGTGAGGACTGCAAAAAACAAGCACAAGGTCTCTCTAGGATTTCGGCGATCTGGGATTTGGGAGAGGGGAGAGGGGCACTCCGTGGGGCCATCTTGGACCTTACCTGGGATCCTCGATGCCAGGCGAGGGCCAGCGTGAAGGCCATCGTGGTCTATCTTGGGTCATGTAGGAAAGTCTGGGGGCCATCTGGAACCATGTTGGGGATCTCCAGGGCCTGGCGACCAATGTGGGGCGCTCCAGAAAGGGCCTCGCCTGCGAGGATCGAAGGAGGAGTTGGCAGTTCTTTCCCGCCGGGATGCGGCGGAAAGTTAGAACGAGGCCACCTCCGCCAGAGGGAGCCGACGGAAGTAAACATCTGCATCCTAAGAGATGCCATTCCAGGGGGGAGCCCCGAGTTCCAGAATCGCCGATCTCTAGAGGTTCTGAGAGGCCGGACGTGGACCTTGATGATTTCTTCTGGGCTCATTCCTTCGTCTCTCTTCCTCCTCCTCCCCCTCCTCCTCCTCCTCCTCCTCCTCCTCCTCCTCCTCCTCCTCCCCCTCCTCCTCCTCCTCCTCCTCGACCTCCTCCTCCTCCTCCTCCTCCTCCTCTCCTCCTCCTCCTCCTGCCCTCCTCCTCCTCCTCCTCCTCCTCCCCCTCCTCCTCCTCCTCCTCCTCCTCCTCCTCCTCCTCCTCCTCCTCCTCCTCCTCCTCGACCTCCTCCTCCTCCCTCTCCTCCTCCTCCTCCTCCTCCTCCTCCTCCTCCTCCTCCTCCTCCTCCTCCCTCCTCCTCCTCCTCCTCCTCCTCCTCCTCCTCCTCCTCCTCCTCCTCCTCCTCCTCCTCCTCCTCCTCCTCCTCCTCCTCCTCCTCCTCCTCCTCCTCCCCACGAGTCTGGGTAGGTGTTCGTGTTCACTGCGGGGAGCGCCCCCACCTTGAGAGACGAGCGGCCCACGGGCCTGCCGCTCGGGCGAGGTCCCCATGTTCGAGGCCCCCTCTCCCCGCCTTTGCAGCGATCCATGATGCCAAGGTGTGGGATTGAGTCGGACTTGTCCCTCTACAGGAGGAGAATCCAAAAATGGTATAATAGATAGTATCGATGTTGTCGACTATGTGTGTGTGTCAGTGCTTGAATACTGTTTGAGGCCCCCTCTCCCCACCTTTGCAGCGATCGATGATGCCAAGGTGTGGGATTGAGTTGGACTTGTCCCTCTACAGGAGGAGAACTCAAGAATGGTATCAAAAATGGTATCGATGTTGTCGACTGTGTGTGTCAGTGCTTGAATAATGTTTGGCCATGTTTCAGTTGTCGTCCAAAATCCGCCTGTAGGAGGACATGCCCGACCTAAGTGTACGATGATAGAGTTCAAGTAAATGCCCAGCAAGAGCCCAATTCTAAAAGGAGATCGACGCCCATCCGCGAAATCGTTGCGCACGTCAGGGTCCGGATCACAGACACTAATGAAGCCGAACGTCGCCCGCTGTGTTTCAAGGCGCCGCCGACCACCCGTGCAATTGCTGCCCACGGCTGACACGTCGCGGAAGGAAACCAGAAGAAGTACAACACGAGAACCCAGGTTTGAAAAGGGGGCATCCCTTGTCGGTGTAACCGGTTGCATACAGTGGACGTCCCCGCGATGGAAAACGAAGGAGTATGAAATTCATGTAATTCACGCGAGCTTGCACGTAAGACGACCAGGCGAGAACCACCGCTTGAAAGCGCCTTCTGATCCATCCGCGGAGCGGCTGCAAGATGTTGGAACGAGAGCGCGTGGCGTCGAGGCGGGAGCCACATTCCGAAGACCAGCCATCAGTTGTGAGGAATTATTTGACGAAACGCCCGACCCGCCCCTCCGAC